ACATCACAAAGATATTTGTCAAGGAGAGCAACCCCAAGGCAAATAATCGTCAGATTCACCAGGGTTGAAATGAAGGAGAAAATACTAAGGGCAGCCAGAGAGAAAGGTCAGGTTACCCACAAAGGGAAGCCCATCAGACTCACAGCAGATCTCTCAGCAGAAACCCTACAAGCCAGAAGAGAGTGGGGGCCAATATTCAACATCCTTAAAGAAAAGAGCTTTCAACCCAGAATCTCCTATCCAGCCAAACTAAGCTTCATAAGTGAAGGAAAAATAAAATTCTTTGTGAACATGCAAGTACTCAGAGATTTCGTCAACACGAGGCCAGCTTTACAAGAGCTTCTGAAAGAGGCTCTACACATTTAAAGGAACAACCAGTACCAGCCACTCCAAAAACATGCCAAATGGTAAACAGAATCACCACAATGAAGAATCTGCATCAACTAATGGGCAAAAAAGCCAGCTAGCACCAAAATGGCAGTATCAAATTCACACATAACAATATTAACCCTAAATGTAAATGGACTAAATGCCCCAATCAAAAGACGCAGACTGGCAAATTGGATAAAAAGCCAAAACCCATCAGTGTGCTGTATCCAGGAAACCCATCTCACATGCAAGGATACACAAAGGCTCAAAATAAAGGGATGGAGGAAGATTTACCAAGCAAATGGAGAGCAAAAAAAAGCAGGAGTTGCAATTCTCATCTCTGATAAATTAGACTTTAAAGCAACAAAGATCAAAAGAGACAAAGAAGGACATTACATAATGGTAAAAGGATCACTGCAACAAGAAGAGCTAACGATCCTAAATATATACGCACCCAATACAGGAGCACCCAGATACATAAGGCAAGTTCTTAATGACTTACAAAGAGACTTAGATTCCCACACAATTATAGTGGGAGACTTTAACACCCCATTGTCAATATTAGACAGATCAACCAGACAGAAAATTAACAAGGATATCCAGGACTTGAACTCAGACCTGGACCGAGCAAACCTAATAGACATTTACAGAACTCTCCACCCCAAATCCACAGAATATACATTCTTCTCAGCATCACATCACAGCTACTCTAAAATTGACCACATAATTGGGAGTAAATCACTCCTCAGCAAATGCAAAAGAACAGAAATCATAACAAATAGTCTCTCAGATCACAGTGCAATCAAGTTAGAACTCAGAATTCAAAAACTAATCCAGCACCACACAGCTTCATGGAAACTGAACAACTTGCTCTTGAATGTTGCCTGGATAAACAATGAAATGAAGACAGAAATAAAGATGTTCTTCGAAACCAAAGAGAATGAAGACACAACATACCAGACTCTCTGGGACACATTTAAAGCAGTATCTAGAGGAAACTATACAGCAATAAGTGCCCACATGAGAAGCAAGAAGAGATCAAAAATTGACACCCTATTGTCAAAATTGAAAGATCTAGAGGAGCAAGATCAAAAAACCTCAAAGTCTAGCAGAAGACGAGAAATAGTTAAGATCAGAGCAGAACTGAAGGAGATAGAGACACAAAAAACCCTTCAAAAAATCAATAAAT